ACTACTACTACTACTACTACTACTACTGACATTTTAATTTAGAAATAATCTTGTGAACCTCAATGAAGGAATATTCTTCTTCGAGAACACTTAGTAGTTTGTTTTTAATTCTAAGTTTGAATGATTTCTTTGGTAGTTCTCTCAGAGAGGTTGGTATCTTATTCCAGTAAGTGCGCGTAAAGTATAGTCATATAGTCATATGGCGTGTTGTCAAGAATGTGGTCCCTCCCTTTCTTGATCTCAACAGTGGTGAGGTCCTTCCTTAAGTAGAACAAAATAAAGATATTCAAAATAATTGACCAAGAACGCATTTGCTATGCTTGATTTCACGGTAAAACGAAATTTAATGAATGTGATATAAAATATTGACACCACTAAGCTGTCACATTAAAAAAAGAACATAAGAAGGAAAGTTCAGGTGACAAGAGCTTTGCAAATAAAAATGCATTAAGCTTTACGTCTTCAAAACTAGCTTGTTTAAATAACTTGATGACAAAATGTAGCATTTTGCTCAGAGGGTGTACTTAAAAAATGGACTGTATTGTGGCGCTGCTGTGACTTGTATACCAACCGCTCTTTGCTGTTGGGTTGCATTTAATGTGTGCTACTTACCATTCAGATCAGTGATGTGTTATATATTAAAAAACAATATCAATTTGAGCCTTTCTGGCTACGATTTTCAAATTCAAAAGGTCTGCATCAATAAAGCCAAAGAAGGTTGTTGTTGTTGTTGTTGTTTTTGCCTTCCAGTATCTCAACAAACATCGCTAAAGCCAATGACTCTTTGAGAATAGTGCCATGTGGTATTGTTAAAAAAATTTAAGAATACTTAGCCTGAATGCGAATTGTGTGAACTGAAAAAGAAGGAAGGGTAATCATGATTACGTTCTGACAGATGCTATTTAAATCAGCTCCCGCTTCGGCAAATAAAATGAAAAATATCGGGTAAATGATAATGAAAATGTCGATTTCTTTTGTCGTCCGTTTAGGCTTGAAGTAGCAGCTGGTAAAATAGCCGACTTAACCCTTGGCCAGAATTATTGCATTAAAAGAAAGATACGTACATGTTAGACGAGATGAACACCTAACCTTGCAAATGTAAGAAACTTTTCTCTGTGATATTACTTGTTATTTTTCAAGATCATTAGCGTCAAGAGGTTAACTGCATGGGAAAATTCACACAATAAGCACATATCAGTTAGGCGATTCGAGTTGAATTACTTGTTGTGAATGTTCTATTTCAGAAACAATTTCTGCTATATTGTAAACAACATGAACAATACTACTAGCAATCTCACCAACGAAACCTTCCCGGAAAAACACGAATATGAGACGTACGAAGATTGTCCTCCGATTGAGAAAAGAACAGCACTTGAAAATGTTGTCAAGATCACAGCATACGTGGTGATAATGGCAATCTCGTTGGTTGGTAATATCTTAATAATATCTGTCACTCGACGCACTCGGAGCATGCAAAAGGTCGCTTTTAATTTTGTGGTGAACATGGCCATTGCTGATCTTTGTACCACAATCATTAACATGCCAGAGTCCCTAGCAGTTGAGATACGCGATTCAGATGAATGGATGCCAGGCGACGTGGGGATTGTGATTTGCAAGCTTTTGCCTTTCTGCCAAGAGGTGTGTGCATTCTGTTCCATTCTTAGCCTGTTGGTGATTGCACTGGACAGATATTTTGCTATTTGTCTCCCTCTCAAGAGAATTATGACCAGAAGACTCTCGAAGATTATTATTTTGAGTACCTGGCTGATTCCTTGTATATCGAGCGCGCCCATGATCGTAGCAAACAACGTGGTGGAAATAGAAGGACAACTCTACTGCGTTGAAAAATGGCCAGCTCCATTCGACGACGACAAAGCATCGACGGATTATACCATAATTCTCTTTGCGTTGTTCTACATGCTGCCTTTGGTTATCATATCAACTCTGTACGGCTGTGTTATTTATAAAATCTGGCGTAGAAAGACTCCTGGAAACCGCTCCTCACTGGCAAATCGTCTTTATTCTCGAAGCAGAAGAAAAGCATTGAAAATGTTCATAGCAATTGTCATTTGTTTCGCACTTTGCTGGCTGCCATATCATGTTTCATTCTTTTTAATGTCCTACGACGAGAATTTCCATTGTGGGCTTCCTAAAGATCTCTATTTCATGGTGCTGTTTTTTTCGCATGCTATAAGTGCTGTAAATCCATGCATTTACATGATGTTCAACAAAGACTACCGTAACGGAGTCAAGCGCCTGTCATCTTGCGCTAGGAGATCAAATGCACTGTATCCTGAAAACAACACTGGAACTGATGTTAATTCTCAAACAGGCGTACGCGAACACCACGAGATGACCACGTTATTTTCTCGTGGCCCCAGAAGTGGAATCCGAGACGTAATGCAGAAAAGAAAACCAACAAGTGATGCTATTACAGGGAAAGCTTACGTGGTAAATTACAATCATGGGTTCGCAGAATGAGGGATTTGTAGCTTACTGAAGATTCTTATCAACTGATTTACCCGAGGAATACAATGCTTACATCTGCAAGAGGAAATTTCTTACGGATAAGCTTTACCTCATAGTATCTAACTGAATATATGCGAGTAAAGTATTTATAATGTTGTATCAAAAAGTTGAAAGGAGTGCATTGAATTGCATGTATATTATAAACAGTAATCAAATGATTTTGCTCATGCAATTTGGGAATAAATAAGCATTCCTCCGTCTGTCTGGTACACTTTTCAAAGACGTCATATTGCAAAACTGTAAAATTGACCCAGATTAAAACATCGCACCCAAATACGAATATGAAATCACTAAGCACAACAACTAACTAACGTGGAAAATATTCCTCTTATATACGCGTTATTGAAAGCCTTCGCTAACGTTATTTCAAACAAAGACAACTTATATATTGCACAGAAGTTGTCTTTTGCAGTTTTATTCCAAGCCCCAAAACAAGTAATATATATTTAAGTTTTAAATGAGAGAAAAAGAATTTAAACTTAGCATAGAGAATTCCTTACTCAGAACGAGAGGTACATTATTTACCGATCCAGAGAACAGTAGCTGAGAGGGTCAACTTATCTGTACAGGAGACCATTACTTTAGGAGTGTAAACATATTTATGCGACATAATATCATCTGCCTTTAAAATCATGACTCCGTGAGTCAAATGTTGTATATTATTTAATTGTATATGTATATTATTTAATTGTAAATGTTGTATATTATTATTTAAATTTAAGGAAATGAACGCTAGTACTGAGTTTGTTGATTACAGTAAGAACAAGAGCGAGAAATGATACTGATGCAAGCTGAAGCTGGCTGAATTTCTAGCCCGTCAATAAGCTCTGATAGATTGAGGGGGAAGGCCGGCCAGTACTGCGAGGAAAAAGAAGTGGAGAACGAAGGCCAAGCGAAGGCCAAGCGAAGGCCAAGCGAAGGCCAAGCGAAGGCCAAGCGAAGGCCAAGCGAAGGCCAAGCGAAGGCCAAGCGAAGGCCAAGCGAAGGCCAAGCGAAGGCCAAGCGAAGGCCAAGCGAAGGCCAAGCGAGGGACAAGCGAAGGCCAAGCGAAGGACAAGCGAAGGCCAAGCGAAGGACAATGGCGAAGGGTGATAAATCTCTCAAAGAGAGATATCATGCTTCCCTTAGAGTTGAGAGTTGGCAATATAAAGTCAACGTGAATAAAAGTGGTTAACGTACTAAAATAAAGAAGTTAAGGGTAACTTTAATTTATTCAAATTTAGGGAAGAGAAAGATAGACCTAGAGAGTCCTAAGCCATTGCAAAACAATTTAATTGCTGTAAAATTAACGTGTTACAAAGATTTAGTCAGCCCATGTTTTTCTCTTCCTTTCTATCTATTGGCATAAAGGACGCCTTCTTGTCGGAATAAAGACAACAAAAAACCTTCAATTGTTAAGCCAATCGAATACTGACATGTCCGTTTCATATTACTTGTGAGTCCTGTAAATATAAATAAACGTCTATGTCCAAAAACAACAACGTACTTCGTTTTCGTAGCATTGCAAATTCGTTTAGCAAGGCGGCCGAATTAAACTGGGTTCTCATTCATGTCACGAATCGAAACTTCTGCCGGTGCCTAGAATGAACTGCATATTATGTTCTTTGCCGAGCAGCCCTTTATAATATTCATTTTGTATACTAGCAGAATGAAATCCTCTTTGGTCTCCTCGCTGGATATCTACAATCTGCTCTTATGCTAAAAAATATCAGAATTAGATGTGGAAAATGCTAAATTACGCTCGAGAAATTTGAAAACGCAGCAGTCACCGGTCATTTTGGATTTGTTTTTGAGGAAAACTCCGGCAGGAAAATCAAATGATTATCGTGACGTTATCATTTTCTAAAATCTCCGTTTCCAAAGTGTTTTCTGTCCACATTAAAGCCCAAAGCCAGCGTTCTCGAATTCCTCGGGTTTGAAAGGCGTTTACGAAAAGCTCCGTTTTCGTGACGGATCAGTATGGACGGTGGGCCTAACCGCAGAATTAAGGTGGCTCAAAACAGATTTTGATTGGTCGTTATGATCACTCTTTATCAATTGATGCTACAATCATGGAATCAAAAAACTGCCCAATCATTGGCGAAACCATTGTAATCATTTTCGTGACACAATAGGTTACCATAGCAACAGTATTACCTGCTTAATTACAGCTTTAAGGGCTTATAATTCAAAAACGTCCGGTGAAATTTTTTTATATTATCAAATTTTGATAACCATTATAAGACACAACTTTTGGCAAATCTAATTTTACATCTAAGAGCTGGAAACTGTTCTGAGCCACCTTAAAGCTGCGTTTTCAAATTTCTCCGGCGTAGTGTGGACGAGTCTTACTGCGCCTTTCAATAACATGCGGACTCTAAAATTCAAAGCTCAACCGACAAATGCGTTTTTCGCTAACATCAATCAAATGATCGGCGACTCCTCCCAGCTTCCGACTTCTGCGAGCACTGTTTCGTTGTCTGAACTGTGCTGAACGATTCGATTACCGCGCGCGCGGCAGTAGTCGGAATCTGGGAAGAACCGCTGAACATTTGATTGACGGTAGCGTAAAACGCTTTTGTCGGTTGAGCTTTGAATTTTAGAGTTCACATGTTATTGAAAGGCGCAGTAAGTTTACTTGCATGCAGCATGATACACGTACATTATATGTTGTCACGGAAGTGATAAGCAGTTTTAAAATGCTTATCACTCAACAAAATATTCTAAGCTGGATGAAATGAAGCATCAGGCCCCGTCCGCGCTACGCCGGGACAATTTGAAAACGGAGGTTTCACTCAGAAAATGCATAAAATGTCTTACGTGCGCACTGCGCCTGAGGAATTAAAAACGCAGCAATCACCGGCATTGTGGATTTGTGTTTGAAAAAAAAAAAAACACACTCAGGGAGGAAAATCATCAGATTATCGTGAGTTCATCGTTTTAAAAAAAGCTCCGTTTTCTAAGTGTTTCCTGTCCACATTAAAGCGCAAAGCCGGCGTTTTCAAATTCCCAATGTTTGAAGAGCGTTTTCAGCTCCGTTTTCGTGACGGATTAGTGAGGGCGGTAGGCCTAACCGCAGAAGTAAAGCTGCGTTTTCAAATTTCTCCGGCGTAGTGCACCGGGCTTAAATTTACTTGCGTGCTGCATACACGTATATTATATGAATGAAGTCTTTATTTCTTATCGAAAAACGACGTCAGACTCGGTAGACATAAGTCTTTACAATCAAATCCTGAATGAAAGCAAGATGAAGGCAATTTAATCTACGTAACTTAAAATCTATGTATAAAAATAAGATGAAAGCA